CCTCTGTTTTTGCATGATAATTACCATCATTAAACTTAGAAACAGATTTTTCATTCTGACAATACAGACAGTATCTAGGTGCTATACAAGCATTGCTTGTAAAACGCTTGGAACGATTAAGAAGGAAGTAACAATTTTTGCTTCGAGGTGGCACAAGAATTCTACATTGCAATTTAATATGTCGCGTGTGGCAACATCGACATTTACATGATTTGGCACATCACTTGATATCAAGATAATTGTTTTTCAATGTTTTGGCACGCGAATGTAACATGTGGAAAGTGACCTTTGTTCGTGTCATACATTATGCTCTTATTCATGTTGTCTATGAACAAGACTCTAAATATGATGCTTCTCAAATTTGAGTCAAAAGATGTTTGAAAAAATCATTGCTACCCGCTCGGGTTGTACAGCTTAACTAAGCTACTCTAAAGTAAAAGTGACTTGTCTGGTAGATCTTTCCATTTCGAAATGGAAGTTAAATTTGTGCGGACAAACACTTCTTTCAAATTATTACTTCGTGAAAAACTGATAACATTGATTAAAGTATAGATAATTTTGAAATAAATTAAAATAAGAGAAATTCGGGTTTTGAAATTCGAGTTGGAGCGAAGCTTGCAACAACAAGGTCAGCTCAGTTTTGGCACGCAAACGTAACATGTGGAAAGTGACCTCTAGGCGAGCTCTAGCTATTATTTTATGTTTCCTCCAAACAAGTCTCCCAATAATCTGGTTCTTAATTGTTGACCGATCACTGATGCATACCCTGAGTTGGGGCCCCCATACTAATTTACTTGAGACCAACAGAGAATGAAAACAACAGAATTGTAAGCCCGGTGAATCTTTGTTTTTTGTTATGAAAAGTTTACGCTAGATACTTTTACATTATTACTTGTGAAATTCGGGTACTCCCGTAGTGTGCGTACCAGGTTAGGGTTGGGGCATAGTTTTATTCCGATTTTCCTTATTTTAGTTATATTACGAGTTCGGGGACTGTCTTTGCTATCCAAGTGAATATACCCCCATAGGTTTCAGTCCCTTTACACAACTTGATGTAAAGTAGGCGAACAAAATTAGTTACCTCCATATTGGTACACACACTCCTGGAGCGCCGAAATTCGAGTTCGGCCAGCGAGAATTTCACAATTTAGGTACTTTAATATACGAGAAAAACTGGCTAAAATTGGGCAATTTGCTAATTCGAAGTGTTAATCTGGAAGTAGATTTTTTATTTAATGACTCAGATCTTAATGAAAAGATGTGAAATCAATCTATGTTAACGTGAAACAATAAATTGTCGCCAATTTAAGGAAACGTGATATTCTACTTTTACGATAGGTATTGATATCTCGAGGTAATCTTATACCGTGTAAGCGATATGTGTCGATGAGCTACCGTTCTGAATTGACAATTTTGTGATATTTTATCATGTATAAGTAGTGTTTAAAATATAACGATTTTATTATGTGTACATACTTGTTCTGGAAAAAAATTTCAACTTTTTGTGAGTCGAAAAGCGCGCTGTCGAAAACTGAAACTATACTACCGTGTACAAAAACGGTTTTTTGTGTTTGTGTGTCGGTAAATCGCTTTGATTTTACATGCTCTTTTGTTTACAGCAAAATATTCCAAGTTTGGTGCTGAGGTGGGGGGGGGGGGAAGGGGCAAATACCCTGGGTTGTGCTGTGTCTTGCAGAGAATTAAGCACGGATGAGTCTCACGATGCTATATATCTTCAATCGATATTTACTAATGTGCACTCCCACACTATAATTCTTCATAGCGCCGGTAGTTTTTGGCATGTTGGTCGTCGTCAGTACCCTTGCTTAGAGAATATTCTTTTTTTTTTCTGAATTAGTTCAAGTTGACTTGCTTTGGGAAATATCCTTACAAGTAAATACAAATATATATTTGGTAAAATTATAGGAAACACCCAGAAGTTTTCGATATTTTTTTTTTATTTCAAATGTTCACACAATTTTAGCTTTGTTTTATAGTCAGTGCCCTCTACAAATCACATTTTCCATAACAACATTTTTTAAATATCATGAGTAACATCTCGAACATTTGCTTATAATGGTTCCATTACATTTGAACCCACGACAATTGCACCTGCATACTATTGCACCTATGGAGATTTTGTTTTGTTTTACGGATATTTGAACCCATACTAACCCTAAACCATGGGTTTTAACACCCGCATATAGATTGAACCCGCGGATATACGCATGGGTTCAAATGTACGGTCACCGCTTATAATGTGCACCAAAGTAGGGCACCAGTGAAAATCTTCATGGCACACCTGTCTAGATCCTTATAGGAGATCAGGATTGAATAAAATACACAGAACAGATATTGAAAATGATACAGAACCACACCTAACAAATTTATCCCGTGACATTTTTCCTAAATGTAAATTTATAACCAAAACCGAATCTCAAAAAATTTCCTGAGTTGCGTGCAATGGATGTCCACAAAAACATATTTGTCGTCAGAACTGTATAATTAAACTAAAAATAGACGAAATTAATTTCATTATTATATATTTGGATATTTTTCCCCAGTAACCTAAGGTGTGCCTTTTACCTAAATTTAGGCGTTACTAATAAAAAGCAATGTATTTGCATTGCCATAGACTGGGGGCTGTGTAACTGATAATCAAGTCGAAATTTGGCAGTATTCGACACCAAATTCAACTAAACACTACAATTTTCCACAACGTCAGATGATACTTCGTAATATAGATTTTATCGATAACTTTTTATCTTTTCAATAATAAATATAACTTCTTATCTTTAACATTTATTTATTTGCGTTCAGATAAATGCTTCGACTTTATAGTCTAATGATAATAAATATATTCAATCTAATGAAATATTAAACCGAATCTTGAAGTTCACAAACCAGTAAATTATTTTGTGTCAACGAACTCTTCTTGTTGACTGACGTGATGGCATCGTGGTTCATCTATTTCTATGATAAATCTAAAGTAATGAGGTTCATTTACCGGTCTCGCCTCCTCATGGAACGAGGTCTAGATGAAAACAGCTATCAAGAGAAATGATATTATAAGGAAACTTGCTCCAACCCTAACTTTTACGAGCCCTATCCTTATTTTACATTTTATTCGTGATTAGGTTTGGATCCAGAACTTTGGTTTATGACTTAGGGTTGGGAAATCAATTCACAGTCAAAGTTCATGCTACATGGCTCTGAAGTTTTATGTTTTTGCTTATTTCTGTTCTTGAACTAATTAAAAACCATCCCAATTTTAATCAATTTAAACTCTGTATTACGATAACATACCTTTGTTTTTATACTATTTTATAGATTGTAATAGTTTACAAGCGCATTGCATTCGGTACAGCTTCTATGCAAAGACAGCAAGACTTTTTCCATATACTGAGTACTCAGTAAAAACAGAAGTTTTACGGCATTTTTACTGACTGCAATATTGTACAGACGATTGCATCCAGTACAGTTCGTAGGCAATTTCAGCAAGACGCTTCCGGTATATTCTTAAGCTCACAACACCTAGTTTACATAAGATATTTCTCCCGAAGCTCTCACGCGACGATGTTCGAATCTTGTTTTGATTGGACATCAAAGTACCGATGCCGCCTTGTCTCTTTTAACGTAATAATCGTCCATTCATTACGAATAAAGAAAACAAGTTTTGAAATTGTGACGCGACAACGGAAAGCACGACAGGAAAGCAGAAAGTAAACCTTACGGCCTACACTACAGGTACAAACAGCATGGTGATATTTTTAGTCTTCGTCGGGCTTCAAATCCAGAAAGTACCAATGCCCGCGAGAATTATCTTGGTTACTATTAGACGCTACTACAAATCGAAATCGCGACAAAACATTTACCATAAACACTAACAGTACAAAGATTGGCGACAATTTAGCCTTGATCGGCCTGACTACCCAAAAGTCGAGAGAAATTAGTTTCTGCGCATACCGCAGAGCACCTTCTTTGTAACCAAGATGAATATGAATATTTATGTAGAATTATGACGTAATGAATATTGATGACGTCATGTAGCAAACTAGTATGCTATTTCTTTGATGATTAGAACAAAACAATTACTACATTGGTAATATTACAAGGTTTAGCAATGACTCAGCGCAGGAAGGTCATGGTAGAAAACAATAAAATCTCTCGCTATCTCTCTATTCTTTAAAGAGCGAACGTTCAGGTCAAATGGAAGTGTATCGAACGCGGATATGTAAGCGTGTACTAAATTTAGTATTAGGGTTTATTGCGGTTGCATACGCTATGCTAAGACGGACGATTTACGGTTACCTAAGCTTTAAAGTGCAATGCCCTCGCGTCGTCTAGTAAATTCATATTGGCATATACAAACGTAACAATGCAAAAAAATTAGGTAGAGTACCTTGGGTCTAGGCTTAGAAGTTTCGTACCTCATGTACTCCTAATGGGCGTCGCATGACAATTTTTGCATATGAATGCGACATCCAAAAATTACGTCACTACGATGTCACAATGACGAGACCATAGAATCTTCGGTGGAAACCAATGTGAAAGTACAAGATAACGAGAGAGCAATGCCCAAGTTTATAAATACGAAGGTCGAATGTCAAAACAGCGTTCCCTTGAATAGGAGTAAAGCAGCGAACTTTTAGGGAAAATATCGAAAGACTCAAAAGAATTAGGTTATTACCCTTCTACCACTTCTGCCGTATATGAGTTTGTACAATTTAAAATATATTGGTCCAGTACTTGTAGAAAAAGCTATTTTTTTTCAGAAAAACAAGTGAAATAATTCATATTTCGTATCTATTAATACAATATTAATATTTACCTCCATTTTTGAATAATTTCGCTTACTTAATTCAAAGTTTTGAAAAATTGGGGATTTTTTTGCGCATTGTAGATTATTTGAAACCAAGAGCAACAATAATACCGCATGCTCAACTCTTAGGATGCGATAGAATTTAAATTAAGAAGACATCAAACGTAAATTAACTCACCAGACCGCTGCCGCCATCCCGAAATAGTAGAGGAGGAAGAACACCGCTGTACATCCGGTACTTTCCAGGTCTCCCATGACAATGTGTGTGACGTCACTATTATCCTGTGTGACGCAAGAAACGCTTCCTTCTGGCCCGCGACCGAGTCGAACGAGATACGCTGACGAGTATAAGAGATAACACAGAGAAAGAAAAATGATCGGTCGCTCTGGGTATCTGAGAAAAATACATAACATAAAAAATATAACTCAATGAATTGTCAGAAGTGTTTACATTCTGGTTTGGAATTTTTTTTTACCAAATGCTTTTTCTTAGGATCTCTACTTAACGGAATTCTTTCTGAATAGAAAAAATGTCTGACACTTTTGACACGAAGTGAATGAAGTCTGTGTCGACCCACATCACGGTCCACGATCACGATCTCTATTTATCGCCAAAGTATTTACATGACATTTTATTACCCACTCTTGCGCAAAATTTCATTGAGGGGGAGAAGGCATTTGAAATTTGTGGCGTTACAGCTGTAACGTCATATTAAATTTGCATAAATTAATATTGCCCGTCATTTCTGTCTTAAAACTCCTCACTGATCTTATTCCAGAAAAACCTGAATCTTCCTCTTCGACATTGTCTACCCAATTTATCACCCCCTTGATAAGGTTGGGATTTTAATCATAGATGAACATCATAATTTAGTCTAACGGTTCAACGCTTGTAACTTTTCTTTAGGAATATTTATTCCAAAAAAATCTGAAATAACACTCACCTGAATCTTTTGGAATCTACCATAAACGTTCCCACAGTTAGTGCAGATGAGACGATGCACAATATTGAACAGGCCAGCATCCAGTAGTAGGCAAAACGTTTGTCTGTTGAGCTGAACATTACATCGATCGTTGTGTCACAGATCGGGAGGCATTTGTCGATTCTGAAAAACGAGATAGAGTGATGACAGAAAGTTTTTGGCGTTTAAATTCGTTGTAGATTTGAGCCGTTATTTATTGTTTAGGAATAGGATAGGCCGCAGGGTGGTCTAAACCCAGGCCCGCGGGCCAAATGTGGCCCGCCGCTCCATTATCTGTGGCCCGCGTCACATTCGGAGAGTAATCAAAAAATCCCTGGATAGGGTTTACTTCATATATTTATCCCGGGGAAAGGAAAGCCGATAAATCGGATATCTCGCCCATTTCGGGTATTTTGTTTTCTGATTCATGGACTTGATTTGTTCAATTTGAGCTCAAGTTGAAAATCTCTATTTTTGGAACCAATCTACCGAATTTGATGAGAATTAAGGGCAACAAAACATGTTCCCCAGTTTGAATCACAGTATGTAAAATGCACATAACAGTGGATAAATTTTAACTAAATATCCAGAAATCGCCAAGTTAGACCGCTACGGCTAGCGTTTCGGCCGGAGACAGAAAAACATGGGTTTTCAAGAAAAATGAAAAAATATTTCATTTTACAATTTTAAAGGGGGGGGGGGGGGGGAGGAGGGTGCGACTCCTCCTGCTTACGCCCCAGACCCTAACTGACATCCCATAAACACTTTTCGTTAGATTAGGTTTATATAGAAATACACCATCTCTTACTTTTCAACGTATAGAAATTTGTCTGGATTTTTGCAAATCGTTTTCGATTTGTCATCAACGTCATGAAACTGACTTCCAGCGTCGGAGTCGTAATCCGTGTTTGAATACACCGGATAGCCACCATCCGGATAATCGGTGTCAGAGTCGACTGCGGGAAATAGTGGAACTGTAAAAAATGATAAAATTAATTTGACATGATTATTGGGTTTCAAAGAGACTAACTACTTATCCGTCTTCTATATTTTTGTGCCGGTGGATCCGTATGCATATAATGCAAGGATGCTGTAGCAAGAGTAGAGATAACAATCCTAAGTGATTTAAGAGTATTGCTGCACACTAACACAAATATATTTCACCAAGGTCAGACTTCTTCAGACATACATAGTTCAACTTGAGTTTATACATGTCTTATTAGCGGTTTTCGATCGATGGCCCTGCACAACTTGTACATCTAATTTATTACACCCGGGAGGCATGTGACTTGAGGCTGAAATGTGCATTCTAGTTGCCAACGCAGTCACGTCTTTTATCGTGAAATAGCGTACTTAGATGACGCCATACCTGTTTACATCGCATATTTTGATGACGTCATTGATGACATGTTTAACTCATAGATAAAATTAAGCAACTCCACTTTGGTATAAAAATCAATAATTCTACAAGGAATCCATACAGGACTGAAATTACATTTAATTTAAAATGAGCAAAATAATAGCGTGCGAGCGGGCCAATGCATCAAACAAACATCCAACCGCATGACATCGTTCTAAAATGCCACTGACTCATCAAAACAACCAATAATGCATTCTTGCCATGAAACTGACCTTCCCCGATTTTCACCGGATTCCACTTGGGCGCCTTCGACGGAGGCTCCTCCTCCACACCCGCTTTGACTTCTTCTACATTCTGAACTAATCCATCATCCCCTGCCATCACGTCTTCTGTTTGTATATCAAGATCTTCTTTAACTTCCTCTTTGTGATGAGGGGGTTTTTCCACATCTTTATTTGGTTTCGTCTTTCCGCCTTTTCTGTCTCTTCTTCGTTTACTTTGTTTTTGTCTGCGATTTCCACGGGATGGTGGTTCAAGCGTCATGACGTCATCTGTTACGTCATCTCTGGGTATGACGTCATCAGGCGAAGTTTTCGTGTTGGGATCATCGGCTATCACCTTCTCCTCCCCGTTTAATCCTGAAAAATTAAATTTTGATTATTCCGGAATACTGATTGGTTAAAGCAGTGGTCGGTCGGCAAACACCGGATCCGGTGTCGGTCTTCTTTACGTCACATTTCGTTTTATCGGACCCCATGTGACAGTGGAATTCCCGCGAGAATTATCGTGGTTACTATTAGACACTACTACATATCGAAATAGCGACAAAACATTTACCAAAAACACTAACAGTACAAAGATTGTCGATAATTTAGATTTGATCGGAAAAACTACCCAAAAGTCGAGAGCATTTAGTGTCGACAAGACCATTCCATCACAGTGGAATTTCTCTATTGTGTTAAATTCACAGAGTGACATCATTTATGGCCCTACAAATGTCAAATTAAACACACCCCTCAACGAAATCTCAATGCTGAGCCGCAGAAAAATTTAAAAATTGCAAGAGTTATTGAGTCACTATATTTAATTTTGATTGCAGTAGCAATAAATGCTGCTGTTTCTGTTTGTTACAGAGTAGTAACTTTCATTCTAGTTATCAAAGTGAAAATGGTTATATTGCGGGAATATTTTTTTTTTTGTAGTTTTACCCTGGTATGGAAAAATTGATGGGCCATGGAATTTTTGTGCACAAAAATGCGCCACGACAGAAAAAAAGGTTGAAAACCACTGGGATACATTTACCTTGAGGTGGGTGCATACATTGCATTGAAGTGTGATCCGGTAATTTTTCACACTGTATAGTTTCTGGCCAGTTTAGATTGAATATATTCATATGAGGTTCGCATTTACGACGAACTTCTTCGCACATTGCTCGGCATGCTGGGATTCCAAAGGGAATCTGTAAAAAATAAAATATTGATCAATATTTTTGTGAGACAAGTAACTGAATACTCATATTTATTACTGAAGCCATTTTGTTTATCATCGGTTTTACTTCCTTAGAAAGGAATAAAAAATATTTCTACTGCTAAAACGGCCCAACTACTTCAATCAACTAGTTTGAAGGGATGAAAGAGTTTTGCAATACATTAACACATATATATCTATTTCTGTGACGTTTCGTCGGACCGAATTTGCCAGATTGCAGACAAAAACTAAACGACTTTACACATTTTAAATTTTATTTTCAAATCGAATTTAAAAGCTTGGTTGTCTAACTTGTCTTATTGACACCAACGACCATTTTCTATCAGATAATTTCAAAATTCGCATTAACGCGGTTACTTATTGTGATCACACAGATGAGTTTTTCTTCATTATTATTCAAGTTTTTTTTATAAGGTGTAATAATTCCCTCAATTCTAAAATAACATTGGATTAGAACTCATTTTCAGCTTATAAAATATAGTGTTCACATATGAAATTATTACCTGTGGTACACACATAGGGAAATGTAGCGAACATAGGAAGAATTTGACATGAGGGGAACACTCAGTATCTGTGAGTGGATTGAATTCGTCAAATCTTCTTGAAGCTTCATCGTGGTCTTCATGTCCGAGTATGTTTGGAAATGTTGTGTAGTTGTAGTTTCCTGACGAAAAAATTAGTTTATATTGAAATACAAATGGGAAAATGGTAGCTTGTACATTTCTGCTTTTAACTATATGCATGAGGCGTTAGGAGATACTAAAGCATGAGTGCGAAGGCAAGTTTTCACAGGAGTATTTTCAAACTCCTTGTGTTGTAGTACAAATTCTGAATTCCCCGTAGAGCTTTCCCAATGGTAATAAAAGTAAAAAATATATACAGGAACTCAAAAAGCATTAATTCCACTAAGAATTCATAAAAATCAAAATTTTCCACAATCTGAGTGAAGCGGCAGCTTTAAGACATGCATTAAATTTTCCAACGCTCGACCAGGGATATCATAGTAACTTAGAAGCGTTAAAACTAAAATCACAAACCAATCGCAAACATAAGGTATAAATTTAATAGTTTTTTGAATTCTCGTGAGCCCCTTGCCTATTAAATATCTAAGCTAAGTACTTTCTCCCGAACTATACAGGCTAAGTTGAGCAGAACTAGCCGTGACTTGATCAAAGTAGGAACAAATAATCGTTTGAAATCCACACCTTCCATTTACACCTGTTAGTCGCGGTTTTGGTAAGAATTCAAAAAATAAGAAAATCGAAACATGATTGGGTTTCTACGCGACTAACTATTTATCTTTCTTTCTCTTTGCGTTGATGGATACGTATGCATATAATGCAGGGATGCCACAGCAAGGGTAAAGAAAGATTTTCTGAGTGATGCGAGAAGAACTCAAGTCTCTCGTTTTATAGTAAAAACCCGACACCATGTTGATATTTATTGCAGGATAATCAAATAAAAACACGTCTAATACTAAATTTCATTTCGCGCCCAAAATTGAACTTATTATGAGATTAGTGATCAAGAAAGTAAGTTTCGTGATATTCTGATACAAACTTAACAGAATCTACTGACAGAATTGAGACCTTATTACTAAGACAAAATTAATCTGCCACGTCACGCTCCGTTACCTAACGATTTCAAAAAAAAGTTTTTTTATTTTACAAATTTTATCAAGATCATGAGCGCGAGCGCAATATAATTAAATCACTGACAGCATCGATGCCTCCCAATTGCAACGAAATCATCCTGCCAGGTTACGCTCGATTGCCCAACAATTCGTAAAATAGTTTATTACAAAATCTATCATCAAACTTACCTCGACAAGCCGAATTTTCGATTTTAACACATTGAGACGGCCTTCCCCTTGGATGCATCAAAGCTTTGGATATCAAAGGCATCGTCATCAAAAGAAACATCGGGAAAAACAATGACATCACGGGGGATTTGAAAGTTCCAAACGCCGCCATTATCAGACACCGTGACCGGGCTTCAAATCGAGCGAATCTGTCCGTGTCAGAAGTGTGAAATCGTACAAGCAAAGGATTAAATTATGACTTCATAACAAAGTATTTGTTACGTAATAGTTGTCTGTGAAAGAGAAAACGAATTTGTCATCAGAATTCTATAATTACTTGAAGTCACGCCCAAGCTACTTTGACAAAACATTGAAATTAACATCCCCGTATTACAATTTAACCCACGTGAAACTGACCTTAAAATAAACATGACGTCATCTATTCAGTGACGTCACTCCTGTCTATGTCACAAAATATATATTCTCATTGGTATAACCAGTTTTCTTTTGTTTTGAAAAACTTCACTACCAATTTTGGTGTTTTTAGAATAATCTAAAAATATTGCCCGAAGCGGGTTGGAACGATTTTCTCCGAGTGAAGTGCTTCTAAATCTTACTATTTCGTCACTTTATAAAACTGTAAGTAGGCGGATGTACTCGTGCAAAGTAGATTTGTATATGGATAGACTATCGGGCTTGGCTTTCGAATAAAATAGATATTGGAATTTTATTAGCCTTATTCCTTGAAACAAGGTACACTCAGTTTCAGTATTTTCAGCGATTCTTTTACTTTATGCGCTCAACATTGTGGCCCCCTTATTGGGGCAACGGGTCCTCTGTTAGAAACCGCTGTTCTAAGTGATTCAATAATCTTGCTTGATATTTTTGAAAACAGATTATACCCCCATATCTATAAAACAGCAACTACCATCGACATTGAACTATCATTTTAATAACCGCGTGACCAATTAACTATCCTTTATGTATGTATTTACGTTGGCGGATCCGTATAATGCAGGGATGCTGTAGCAAGAATAGAGATAACTTTCCTTTTCCATTCGAGAGTTTGTTGCGCACTGACAAAAATGTATTTCGGTAATGTTCTTTTCAAATAAAGCAAGCCAAAATTAATTGGCGAGAATGAAAAATAACTTTAAAATCCGCGCTCTCCACTTCAAAAATCCTCAATCGCTTTACCAGTACCAATTTTAGCGCTATACTTCACCCATTTTGACAAAAAAATAGAATAAAATAAGATATGTATACTTTAATTATATCGGTGAATGTTTATTTCGATTTTTTGTTTTGTTTGAACATAGTCATAAATCTAAACATCAGTGGCCGAATATTTGTTATCGTGCTTTATATTTGTCATAATACCTATCTAAAGTTTGATTTGTGACGTCATATTTGAAAATATTCGAGGTCGATTACTATGTCTTCGACTAACGTTCTTTCAATTTTAAATACGGCCATGCTCGAAATGTATATAATGTAATATAAAATATAATATTGTATCATAGAACCAGACATGGATGTGTTTTCAAATTTTTGAAAAATAACATACTAAAAATTTTATACTTTTAGGAAAAACATGTAAAATTAAATACATTTCAATGGGCCACACAATTTTCAAACTTGTTCAAGACATACAAAACCAGAAATTGTATTGCAATAACAGCAAATTTTTACTAGTAAATAACTTCCGACACTGATAAACGAATTCAGTTGTCCGGCAGCGTTGTTTAGTATTTATAATAACTCAGAATTTACTTAATATTATCTGCTTATTTTTAAAAGTATTTTTCAACAAAGTAATTAAGACTTCGTCAAGATATTCGATGACAATTTGACAAATATACAACCAGTGCAGATAACAATATTTGACAATCTTAGTAATATTTGGTTTTAATTGAAATCACTGATTACACTGAAGCACTGTCAAAAATAATAAGTAAATTTATACGTATTTTGAAGTAATTCCTACAGATGAGGTATTAACATATGCTATGCTTGATACGATAAATAAAAACCAAGTGTACACTGATTTGGAGCAGTGTCAACATGTTGGCCTTAACTAAGACTTTAAACAAGTATATATAATGTTTTATATGTTTATATGGTGAATATTCATGGAGTTCAACACTGAGAGAGGTGGTACGTTTGATGGTAATTCGGACCGCTATAAATGAAGCCGCGTGTGTAATTTGAATCAGACGATACGACTCGCTAATCGAATCCAGGGCCGTAGCAAGGGGAGGAAATTGTGTTGTTTTTAATGTTTGTGGTCAATTTCCTAAAAAATTCACGCAATGGAGCCAAGCCCTTTAAATTCACAAACAATAATTATCCGAAAAAATAAGGAAAGGACTCACCAAAATCGATAATACTATAAATTCAGTTAACTTTTCTTTTTTTACAAGTGTTTCATATTTATAAGTAAAGGTTTGACTTTGATAGGCTGCTTCCGATCTGGAAATTTGCGGCTCTTTAGTCATACACGACATGACCACGAGTAAACAACTAACCGCGTGGTGTTTGGATCGATGGCCGGACTGGGATAAAATTGAGTATTATATCAATTATTGCCGAAAATTGTGAAATCACGATTTATTATCAGATACAATTTCATTTTTTTTTTTCAAACACCAATTTTTTTGAACAAATATTACTCAGTAGTCTGTACCAGCAGTGCCTTTAAGGAAGGACGCGGGAATTGGATTCGAACATTCAAATGTATGATGTTATTAAAAAAAAAAATTGAATTCACAATACTCTCTAAATGGCAGGAGGAGGGAACATGATCTGATGATGATCCCCCTCAACAAAAACTATTTATCCAACGAAAAGTAGCAGGTGAAACCCAAACCAGATATTTGAAATGTTTGATTTGCTTCCGAACGAAACAGCGTATTCGCTGGCATACTGGCAACCAGAGAGTTCATTTACTGTCTGAATCTTGAAAACAGATCATTAGTTTCAATACTATTTGTAAGAAAACGACGTCATCGACAAGACGTTAATGACGACATGACGTTTTAAACCATTATCAAATCAATGCATGTTTGCAATCAATGTGGGTTTTACGAACAAACCATTTACATTTAATAATAATTGTAAGATAATGACGTCATCAAACCATGGCCATATTTTTAATGAATAAACAAGCAGTGCGCAATTTTCAATGTCCGACAAACCAAATTGTTGCAACATGTATTACTGTGAGAGGCATCGAGAGGATGTGGTCAAATTAAAAAATTAACGAACAAAAACAGATGTTCGAACAGCTTAACTTGTCTCTTGAATTTCTGACACAAAATGCAAGTAATTTGGATTTGCAATTTATATTATTGTATCATCTCGGTTTCAAGTTCAGATTATAATTTTATTACTGTGTGGTCTACTACGTGGTTGGGTGTAGGCAGATATTTAAAAAAAATGAGCGCAAAAAAACGACGGATAATCAGAAAAGAGCGAAATTAAACGAAGTCAAAGACTCAGATGAAACGTTACATTTTTCATGACGTCGCAATATTTGAATATCTTTCCTAAAACACAAACCAAACTTCTTCAAAGAATTATAAAATCAAAGCAAGATATAAAGAACATTATAAACGTCATCAATAATGACGTCACACAATTCGAATAGCTTTTTCCAAAACACAAACTAAACTTCGAAACATTATCAAATCAATGCAAGATATAAAGACTATTAGTATATTAACTGAATTTTCAACAATAATACGCAATAATCTTTAAAAAAACATGACGTCATCAATTATGACGTCCCAAAATTTGAATAGTTTTCCCAAAATATAAATCAAACATTGAAGCATTATCAAACCAATGCAAGATATCGACTTGTTTTTCCCGATAGTCTCTCACGACACAAAATCTGATTAAATATTATCTAAATGATTTACCAATACTTCACCTCAATCTAACTATCATCTACTTAAGACTGAACGATAATCCGAAAAGAATTATTTGAGTGGTTTACGACGAAGCTAATCGGGAAACAGTTAAAAATAATAGGAAAAGATAATGGAATTTGTATGTAACTTGTCCTCGTAAAATGCGACACCAGAATCCATCCCTGTATTGAGTATATAGAAAAAACGGTGACCGTACATTTGAACCCATATACATTTGAACCCATGCGTATATCCACGGGTTCAATCTATATGCGGGTGCTAAAACCCATGGGTTAGGGTTAGTATGGGTTTAACTATCCGTGAAACAAAAAAAATTCCATAGGTGCAATAGCATACAGGTGCAATTGTCATGGGTTCAAATGTACGTGGGTTCAAATGTAATGGAACCAGAAAAAAACGAAAGAAAAGTGCATTGTTTTGCTAACGCTGATGGTACTATATACAGGGTGTCCATAAAGTCTCAATTTGTTTTTAAATTTCAAAGGAAGTTTATCGATACCATATATTGTTTTGGCCTTCAAGGATATATTAAATGAAGTAAAAATACTTGAACAATGAATACTTTGAAAATAAAAAAAACCTAGTTAAGATATATTGAAAACTGACTTCATAACAAAATTGAAATTGTAAAGGGACTTTATTAACACCTTGCATATCATACAGGGTGGCCCGCAGACAAACGGAGCCCATAAATTTTCGATCACTTATACGAAAATGAAGAATATATATTAATTTCCAAGACAAGCTAATAGGCAATAGGTTAAAAACTCAAGTAATACTCCCCGTGCAATGTAAAACAAGATTTCAAAAATTTATCTGCTATATATCCGAAATGTCCTATATTCTAGGATAGTTCCATGTACACGGAGACGTTTTTTGTTAAGATAAGCATAGTGGGATGTATGTAAACAAATACGCCTACCTTGTTAACATGATATGTGCCAACAACCCCTAGTACAAGCATTTAAAGCGCTCGGGACGTTACCAAAGCAACGTAGTTCGCTATGTTGGTGAAAAAGTGTGTAACTCGACATTGACTTATTGGCGTATTTTACCTACCTTTGAACCAGGAAGCATAAATTGGCTGTTTTATCAACCATGAACCGGGAAGCATAAATTGGCTGTTTTATCAGCCTTTGAACCGGGAAGCATAAATTACGTATTTTCCCGAAGGGAATAAATTTGTGTTTGATAATTGTATCGATATGAGTATCTCAAGACAACATGAAATAATCTATCGTTATAATCCTTGGTTTCAAACGACCAAGTTTCGCGCGTTAACCATAATCGTATTATGACGTATTAATATGTTCCTTTGAAAATTACACGCATGAATG